GTATTCCCAGCATGCAGCATACTGCCTTGAACAAGGTGGTGTTCGATAAATGTTAAACTGAGGCCATTCTGTCCAATTTATTGAAGAGTTTTTCCGCTGCTACGAGGGAATGTACTTTGGGACTATGAATGTGGGTGGGTGGGTAGGTGGTGCATACTGGGAAACAATTATGCATGAATAAAAGACAAAAAACATTAATAAAACTTTAAAAAATGTTTGTTTAATTGAATTGAATAGACTTTTCATGAATTGTGGTGCTTGAAAACCGCCATTGTCTGATGGCCCTCTTTGTGGAGATGGACCTTTGTGAGTTCACTTGGGCTGGTCCTCAAAGAGCGGATGTGCAGGCTGCTGCTGGATCCATGCTTGAAGTGTCTGGGTTTTTGTTTTTTTCAGTTTAGTAGGACATGGCAGAAATTACAATCTGCTGACATAGTCTTGGACAGCCCAGAGTCACCTGCACACCACAGCAAGGCATGGGGAAAGGACTTTAAGGGAGAGTCTATGGTCAAACCATCACTCAAAATGATAAATGCACTTCTTTATACCCTCTTTGGGGTATAAGGCAGCTGGAGGGGAGGAAGAAAGACAGAGGTTTGCCAGTGTTTCACAAAGCAGGTGTTCAGCTTCCAGTCCAGGGGTCATTTTTGTCTTGCAGAAAGTTGGAATTCCAATTTTGAACCTTTGAAAAATGTTTCCCCATCATCCAAGGGCTCATGAGATACCCCTAAGGAATGCCTTCCAAGATCACTCGGCAAAGACAGGCCCTTCCAGGGATGCACATAAATGACCCTTAGAGAAATACAGCTGCCCCTGGGTAGAGCCTGGTCAGAAAATGGGTACTCTCAAAGGGGAGGCTGTGAGTAATCATGTGAAGAAATTCTCATGGAGTGCGGATACACTCTGCCTGCCTGAATTTTTAAAGCATCTAATTTAGCCAAATGACTATAGCCAACAGCAGAATGAGCCACAGGCATGTGGGAACTACCTGAGACAGCTTACGGGCTGCATGGGAGAAAAGAAAATTAACTCTTTCCTGCGATCCAAGAATCCTTCCCTTTGCTTTGTCTTTTCCCTCTTTCAACAACGCATGCCTTCCTTTGCCCATGTCACAGCTTCTCTAGATCTCTCTAGTTGAAGGGCTGAGTCATTGGGGATATACCATCGTAGGGTCTATGGATGTTGAGTTGGAAGGTACCACAGAGGCCATCTAATCCAATCCCCTCATTTGACAGATGAAGAAACTGAGGCCCAGGGAGATTTATGTGGCTTGTCTGGGGTCACATATGCATCAGAGGTGGGATTTGAAGCCAATTCTTCTGACTCCAAAATCAGTCCTCTCTCCACTCCCCCAAGCTTCTGTGTTTTTTATTTATTTGTCTGTTAAATCTCTTCCTTTAAGAGCCTCCTATTTATTTCACTGGAGAGTAAATGCCTCCTTTTTTTCTGTTTCATAGTTGGAAGGGGACCATAAAGGTCATTTACTTCAACATTCTCATTTTTCAGGTGGAGAAACTGAGACCCAGATTCCTGTTTAAAGCCACATGAATACGAAGTAGCGAAGCTGAGACCCTAACCCATGTGCTCTCACTCCCCAAATCCAGAGCTTTTCCCCCTACAACTACTGTTCCACTTCTCAACTTGACTTGTCCAGCATCCTAGGGAGCTCTTCTTCAACCTGAATGACCCAGGGCCACCTCAGAATCAATACATCTCAAGCTGATCTCACTTCCTGCCACCTGAACCCTGCTACCACCCATTCCACTTTCCCAGCTTCTGTTGATGTCATCTCCAAGCCTTAGAACCTGACTCATCTTGGTCTCTTTTCACTCTCTGGCCACCCCCCCCCCATTTAATCAGTTGCTGAATCCTGCTGTTCCAATCCCCGCAATCGTTTTCTCAATGTATCTCCTCCTTTCCATTCCCATGGCAACCAACCTAGTTCAGGACCTTCCCTGTTCTCACATAGATTACTGTGATAGCATTCTCACTGCTCTACCTAGACTCTTCACAACCCCCTGTCTGCACTGATGCCCCAGTAATCTTCCGAACAAACCCCACTGATTGTATCACTGCTTTATTTGAAATGTTTCGGTAACTTCTTAGCGTTTACTTCAGCCAAAAATCATTTTCTGAAAGTGCAGGTCAGACCATGTTGGCTCTCCTAGTCAATAATATGCAGCGTCCCTATTCCCATTAGGACTCGGTACAAACTCCTTTACATACTCCACCACCTCCTTCCTGTTCCTTATATATAGTATTCCACCCCTCCTGTCTCTACCTTTGCACAAGCAAATGTGCCCATGGCCGGAATGTGCTTCCTCCTTACCTCCCCCTCTCGGCATCCTTAATAATCCTTCAAAACTCAAAACTCAGGCACCACCTCCTACTCTGTCTTGGCCTTTCCTGGTCCTCCCACCTACTAGTAGCTCTTCCTGAAAGTGATCTTGAATTGATATTCTATAGTTTTTGAATATACTGATTTTTTCCTATAGTTTTCTGTGTACATATGATCTCTCCCTGTGGAATGTAATTTCCTTGAGGGCAGGACTGTTTTACTTTTTGCTTTTGTATCCCTAACATCTGGCACAGTGCCTGGCACATAGTAGCTGACTAGTAAATTCTTGTGGATCCATTAATTGTTAACGGAAAGAGCATAAATTTCTGTTGCTCGCATTCAAAGCCCTCCGCAATCTGACTCCAAACTACCCATCCAATATTATTTCATCCTACTCTCCTTCACATATAGATTCCAGTCAAACCTCTTGGAACTTAAAAACTTCGTAAATTCTCAGGAACTTAAAAAAATGCATCTTCATAGAAAATAGCACCTTCTACAAGGTATGCACTCAGTCACTGCTGCCTGAATTTCTTTTTATTTCACTCCCTCCCCTCATCAAAGTCACACTTCCTAGTGAGTTCCTGAATATAGCAGATGTTCTGAAAAAATATTCTCCATCCTCTGTTCTTGAGTGAATGAAAGAAAAAGCATTTATTAACCACTTTCTATATGTCGATCACTGTCCTATGGAGTAGGGATATAAATAGAAAAAATGAGACAATTTCTGCTCTCAAGGACCTCATAGTGGGAGAAACAATATATAAAAGAAAATTCAGCTGCAAAACCCACAGAAGAACCTAGAAGTCCTAAAGGGATCAGTAATAGGGCAGAAGGTAAGGCCCAAAGATTATTAGCTCACTTCAGCACGTTGGAGTTGGCAATGCCATGGGTCTGCAGGGTATACATGCAGGGCAGGTAGTAAGGAAAGACCTTGGAAGGCAGGAGCAAGGAGAGTGGGAAGTCTTGGGGAGGACTTTCCTCTCATCAGAAGTGATAAGAGTTGGCTACTCCCATCTCTCCACATCAGGTGAGCAGCCAAGCAGACCTAATGGGCTCTGGGACAGACTCAGACCTTGGGAGGAAGCAAGGAGGCAATTCTAGGAGGGTAAATATGCCCTCAATGGTGCCCTTTGTTCACTTCTACCCCAGGCCTACTATGAGCCTCCCCGCATCTCCATGTCTACCTCTTTTTAAAAAATCAATATATTTTTGCTTAAGTATTTCCCAGTTACATTAAAAAAATTTAACATCCATTTTTTAAAACTTTGGGTTTCAAATTCTCTCCTTCCCTCCTGCCCCTTCCCCACCCAATTGGCAAGCAATATGATTCCAATTACCCATGTGCAGTCATGCAAAATGTATTTCCACATTAGCCATGTTACAAAAGAAAACACACCCACACACACACACACACACACACGCACACCCACACACATGAAAAGTAAAAGTATGCTTCAATCTGCACTCAGAATTCATCAGTTCACTCTCTGGAATTGGATAGCATTTTTTATCATGGGTCCTTTGGAATTGGCTTGGATGATTGTATTGATCAGAGTAGTCAAGTCTTTCACAGTTAACAATCTTTACAACGTTACTGTTACTGTGTACAGTGTTCTCCTGGTTCTGCTCATTTCCCTTTGTATCAGTTCATATAAGTCTTCCCAGGTTTTTCTGAAACCATCCTGCTTGTCATTTCTTATAGCAAATAGTATGCCATCACAGTCATAAACCATAACCTGTTCAACCAACCCTTAATTGATAGGTCTCCCCTCAATATCAAATTCTTTGCCACCATAAAAACAACCACTCTGAATATGTTTGTACAAAAAGGTCCTTTCCCCTTTTCTTTCATCTCTCTGGGGCACAGCCCACATCTATCTCTTTAAAGCCCAGTTTGGGTGCCCCTTATTCCACAATTCCTTTCTTGACACTTCTGAGATGTAAAGTGATTTCTCCACCTTCAAATTTCTCCTAGCATTTTGCCTGAACCTCTCCTTTGCACTCACCTCATAAAGGCTTATATCTTTGTTATCTGTGTACCCCCAATTAAATTGCAAGTTCCTTGAAAGCAGCACCTATATCTATCTTTAGGTTGGAGAAGCAAAGAACTATGGACAGAGTTCTGGGCCTCAAGCCGGGAAGACGTGAATTTAAATCCAGCCTCAAATACATACTAGCTGTGTGACCCTGAACGTGTCACTAAACCTACTTGCCTCAGTTTCCTCATCTGTAAAATGGGGATAATGATAGCGTCCAGCCCTCAAGGTTGCTGTGAGGATCAAATGAGATCATTGTAAAGTGCTTAGCACGGTACCTGGCAGATAGTAAGTTCTATACAAATGTTATGCGAGGGATGAAAATGAGTCTTCATATGTTGTCCTTTATTTAGCATGTTGTTGTTGTTGTCGTTGTTGTTTCAGTCGTGTCCGTCTCTTCGTGATCCTGTTTGGGGTTTTCTTGGCAAAGATACTGGAGTGGTTGGCCATTTCCTTCTCCAGCTCATTTCACAGATGAGGAAACAGAGGCAAAGAGGGGTAAGTGACTTGCCCGGGGTCACACAGCTAGTCAGTGTCTGAGAGCGGATTTGAACTCCGGAAGATGAGTTCTCTGGGCTCCAGGCCTGGTGCTCTGTGCGCTGCACCAGTGAGCTGCCCTGGCTGCTGTTAGAAGCTGTACTTGGCACATTTAAGAACACAGAGTCATAGGACTGGAACGTAGAAATCATCTAGCTTGACTTCCTCATTGTGCAGATGGGTAATCGGAGCCTCACAGAAGGTAAGCAATTTGCCCAAGCTCACCCAGCTTTTTTGCAATCTCATCCCCGAGTCCTCTGATTCTAAGTCCAGCTCTCATTCCGTCGGACAGCCATTGTTACATATTCTAAACTTGCTCCCATGAAAAGAGTGAGGCACGTTCCTCTCCTGAATGCTAAGCCTGGAAAGGACCATAGATGTCTTCCGGTTTAATCCCCTAAATTTCCAGATAGGGAAACCAAGGCTCAAACTAAAGCAGGGCTTTGTCCAGGGTTGCCTTTCGGCAATCGAATGCCTCCCAGGAAAATAAGTATGTTAGCACAGGTGAGAAGGCTGTGTTTGACCACCAGCAATTAGGAACAGAGCCAAGAGTTGAACACAATGTCTCCTGACTCCAAGTTCGGGTTTCTAAAATTAGAATTATTTGTGTCTCTCTCTTATCTCCTTTACTAGATTGTAAACTTTGGAGAACAGGAACTTTTTTCTTTATTCCTATTGGCTCCTCCTCCATAGAACATAGTGCTTTCCATAGATTATGTCCTTGGTCAGTGCTGTCTAAATTTCTTTTTGTTTTCATTCCCTCGCCTTGTCAAAGTCACCCTTCCCAGTGAGTCTCTGAGCACAGCAGATGTTCAGGGAAAAAAAAGTGTTCCCTTGCAGATCAGCATTTCAGATGAAATCTCTGTTACTTATTTCTCTGCCTCTTTTCTCACAGTCAGAAGTGAGACAGGCCAAGTCACTGGGGAACCTCAAACCTTGTTTCAAAGTACACAGGGAGAGGAAGTGTGGTCTGGTGGCTTGGTTTCAAAGATACCTAGAATCCTAGCCTAGCTCTGCTATGTACATGTTAGTTATGTGAATTTGGACAAGACATTTCTCCTCTCTAGGCCTGCTAACTCATTTTTAAAGACAGGAAGCACAAGCATCATTATCTCCACTCAATGGATAAGGAAACTAAGGCTCAGAGAGGTGAATATATACGTGTGTATGTGTATGTATACACACACACACACACACACACACACACATATATACATACACATACACACACAGATGTATATGTGTGTATGTTTATACTTATCCTAAGTATCAGAACCATTATAAATCCAACAGTGCTAAATCTTGGTTCTGATACCCAAATTAATGACCTTTGTGAGACTCAGTTTCTTTATCTATAAAATGGGGATAATAATACTTTCATTACCTGTTCTCCACAGCTGTGGTGAGGAAAGCACTTTTAAAATCTTGAAGCACTTCATAAAGGTGGGTTCTTTTTCTTATTAGTGTTACCTTTGCAACTTTTACAGACCCCAGAAGTACTCATGAAGGGAGGCAATTCAAAAAACCTAGGTTCTACTGGAGAATTGCTGTATGACCTTGTAGAGGTCACACTTTGTGCTTCATCATCCATATCAATAAAATGGGTGTAGTATCATCTACCACATTCCTCTTAGGTATGTTGTGCAATTAAGGAATCCATCAGACTCTAAGAAACCCTTTGCACTCCTGGACAAGGAGTCAATGGTGACTAGATGGTAACTACGTTAATATCTGATCTGAAACAAATGATGAAGATGTGGCAGAGATGAGAGAGGGGTCCCCTTTGCGAGAAAGAACCAAGGAAAGGAGGGAGGCTCCGAAGGAGTGGGAAATGGAGAAACTCTTTTTTCAGAAAAATTCCATCTTGACTTCTAATTTGGTAATGAGGTCATTTCTGTACACAAAGAAAACTGGGCCAGATAAAGGGGTGGATGCCTTTTCATAGGTGCAGGTGCTGCGAGCATTCAGAATGTTTTGTTCCTTACATTATCACTGCCCTGAAACCAGAGTACTTCCAAGAAAATAAGTATTTTGGCTCAGGTGAAAAAAGGAATGTTTGTCCACCAGGGCAGAGAGACAGCTGGCCTCAGAGTCAGGAGAAACCAGTTAGAATCTTGCCTCAGACATTTATTAGCTTTGTCTTTGGCAAGCTGATTAACCCCTCAGTTTCTTCATATACAAGAAAGAGTTAATGATGACTGTAGCGCCTGCCCTCAGCAAGATTTCTACGAAGATTGAATCAGATAATGTATTTAAAGTTCTTGGTAAACCTTCATGTACTGGGTAAATGTCAGTTATTAACATAGTGTCAATGGGAGGTGAAGTCCCCTGGCTCTGGCTCTCACACCCTGACAAGGCACCCAGCTATGAGGAAGCTGTTGAAAACCCAGGTTTCTTGTCAATAAAAAACTCTGAAAGGCACCAGGAACCACAGTCCCCAAGCCCTGACCCAAAGATCCATTGTCCAGAAGTTCTGAGTTTTAGTAACAACCCTCCTTCCTCTTCCCTTCTTTCACAGTCAGGAAACTAGGAGTCCAGAATTGGCCTGTCGTCCCTTGTCTGGTGAGTTAAGGTTTCGTGGGCCTCTGTTGCCGCACCTGTAAAATGGCCTCTAAGTTTTTTTCAAGCTCTGACATTCTATGCTCAATGTCATCACGTCCCTTCCATCGCTAACATTCCATGCTCTATGCTCTCAGATCCCTTATAATGCTGACATTCTATGTCCCAATGCCTGTTCCAGCTGTGTAATTCTATGTTCTATGTTCTCAAGTCCCTTTTAACTCTTCTATTTTGCATTTGAAAGTCCCTTCTAGTTCTTCTATCCCATGTTCTTTTTTTTTTCCCCCAAGGTACCTACCAACACTAACATTCTATGCTCTACGGTCTCTTCTAGCACTGAAATTCCTTGTTCTAAGATCCCTTCTAGCTCTAACGTTTTACATTCTATGTTCAGGTCCCTTCCAGCTTGGAAGTTCTTTTTTGTATGTGTTAAGAGGCCTTCTAAGTTCTGAGATTCTATGCTATCACTATGAGCTTGGTGTTAACTCTTGACAATGGTATGGCTATTATGGATGCCTACATACCATTTAGCTTGTTGGAGAAGTTTGTTAGGTGACAGCACCTATGGGGCTGCGATTATCTAAAAAGATTAGTGTTTCTTTTTCATTACACAGAGATTGTTGAAGTTTTTATTTGTAGCTTGGGCTTTTAAAAGTAATCAAATCCTGAACAGGTTGGCAAAATACAGGTTTCTTGGTCTGGCAAGCCCTTCATTGTCTGCCTTAGGCTGTCCTCATTTACACCTTTGCAAGATTTGAACACGCTTGGCCTGTAATCAGAAGCTCTAAAAAAAAAAAAAGTAAATAAATAAAAGCAGACTAGCACTGAGCCCCACCAGCCAGCCTGACCTCTCCATAGGTTGTTCCGGGCTTGTGAGTTCTGCAGGGGCCAAAAGAGTCCTGACCAAAGCGACTCCAGCCAGCAAAGATAAAGCTCTGGTCTTGCCACTTATGTCCCCTTTCCCCCTGGAGCTTTGTGTGTGGTGGTTAAAATAACAGCTTTGGTGTCAGGTTTGACCTGATTTCTTTTTCCTCTTTGCCTCCTTCCCATCCCCCTTCTCTCAGGCTGATGGCACACACAGTTCTGGCTGGGAGCCTAAGCCAATGGGAACCCTCAGGGCCAGTGGGTGAGGCTGCAGACTTTGCCCAGGGAGCTAAATGGGCTATTAGCTTCCAGTTCTCCTCCTGTGAATCCCTCTCATGGAGATATGCCCTTCTCTGGAATCTGCCCCATATTGCCAGGGCAAAGAAATAGTGCTTAAGGTGGGCTCCCATCCCATACCTTTGAGGGAGAACTTAAATCCATATAGCTATTTGTACCTTAGAAGCATCCTAGAAAGAGATGTCACTTTTTCTTATGCTTTTCTCCCCTTTCCCCTCTTATCAAAGGCTCATAGGAATTAGAGCTAAAAGGGAAATTAAAGATTATCTGGTCAAACCAGATTTTAAAGAGCAGGAGACTGATGATAAGATTATGGGAAGTGATTTGTCCAAGTTCAAAGGCATTGTAGGTACCAGAGACAGGGTGTCAACTCAAATTTCTTAACTCCTTCCTTCTCCCACTACTCTTCTGTCTTCATAGGGGTCAGAACCTGGGAATCAGGGTATATCACCCACCTGTCCATCCACATGCTTCACACTTAGTTGTTGCTTAATATATTCTTGTTGAGCTAAGAATCAAAAAAAATAGAATAAATAGAGTTGTAACCAAGTGATGGGAGCAAAGAATAACAGACTCTGGGAAGGAATTGCAAGATCATAGATTTAGAGCAGGAGGGTGGGGGCTGAGGGGAAAAAAAGAAATTTATATGATAATTTTATCATATATTTAAAAGGAATAGCAAGTTGTACATAATGGACTTGCAGTTTCATGGGCAATCATCTTTTTTTAAAAAATTATGTTATGGATATGCTTGTTTCATTCCATGAATTAAAAATTAAATAAATAGAAATTTTTTAAAAGTTGCCTAGTCTCACCCCCCATTTTATAGAAACTCTGATACCACAGAGGTGCAGTGACTTTCCTAAAATCAAACAGGTAGCAGCAGCAGAATCGGGATTCAATCCCAGCTCCAAACACCACTTTGAAATATAATGCTCTTTCCAAGAAGAACTGCTTCTACAAGATCCTTGACCATAGTCATCCAGACTCCTTTGGAAGACTTCCAGAGATGGGAAAGTTACTCTCTCCAGAGGAAGCCCAGCTTCCTTTGAAGAAATTCTAATTGTTGAATTATTTTTCCTTAGATTGAGTCCAACATCCACCTCTCTGCCATTTCCTACACACTGGTCTTAATTCCATAGCCAGGGTCAAGTCAAACAGGCCTAATTCCTCTTCTACATGACTGCCCTTCAAATATGCCTTTGAACATTTAGAAGCAGCTAGACTTCCTTAGTTCCTTTGACTCACCTTCCTTTTGCATGATCTTAAATTCTTATCATCCTTGTCATTTTCCTCTGGATGTATCAGAGGAGGCCAATGTCAATGTTCTCCCTAAAATGGAATGCCACCAATTGAATAAACAAATAAACAATATATATGTGTGGATTTGTATACATGGATAGACACATATGCAGGTATATATACATATGTGTGTATATTTGTATTTATATATGTCTATAATATATATATATATTATATATGTATTATATATATATATATATTACATATATAAATATATATACACATATATATGTATTTATATTTATACACACACCCCTAACTGGACAAACTATGTGTGTGTGTATATGTATGTATGTACATATGTATGTGTATATGTATATGTATGTGTTACATATACAATATATGTATGTTTGTGTAATATGTAGAGAGGGAGTAGGGAGAGATGGGGAGAGTTTATTCAGTTGGGAGCATATGTGTGATATAATAGTATAGTATATATGTATACATACATATTATATATATATATTTATATATAAACACACTGGATAGTATAGGATCATAGCCTAGCATAACAGAAACCTATTACTTCCCCCACTGTGGGCACAGCACTTCTAGTAATGTTGCTTAAGACTGTTTGACTTCTGGGTCACACTGTTGTATGTGATACAGAAGGCAATATAGCACCAATAGAGTCCTTGCCATCCAATCACCCTAGGAATTTTCCCAAACATCCTAAATTGTGCCTCTTTTTCCACAAGTACTTGACCTAGAGGAATATTGGAGCCCTGGGAAAATGAGTAGGATAGGCTCTGGTTAGTAACATCTGAGATATACTAGGGCTTAAAATGATCCAGAGAAAGACAGGGGGCTCTGAAGCTTCCAATCAGATAAAGCTCCAGGTAACTATGATGCAAAATGTTACATGGCAACTGAATTTTTTGATGTTCAGTCATTTCTGTCTTGTCTGACACTTCATGACCCTACTTGGGGCTTTCTTGGCAAAGATACTGAAGTGGTTTGCTGTTTCCTTCTCCAGTTGATTTTATAGACAAGGAAACTGAGGCCAACAGGGTTAAGTGACTTGTCCAGGATCACACATTTAGTAATTGTCTTGGGCCATATTTGAACTCAAGAAAATGAGTCTTCCTGACTCTAGGTCTAGCACTCTATCCACTGTGCCACCTAGCTGCCCATCTTCAAACTAGAATGGCCCAAAGTACTAGAGAACAGCTAATAGAGGAAGAAAAAGGAAGCGTATCACCCACTGGTTGCCTCAGGCCTCCTTCCATTCTGATTCATTCTCTTCCTACCAAATATTCTCCCTAAATGCAAAAGAATCTATGAGAAAAGGAAAGGGAAGATAAAAACAGGAAACATTTACCAGTGAGGTTGCCTTGCATCCAAGGGATGTCTCTAGATCAGCACTGGCTCAGCTACAGGGAATAAAGGATAAGTAGCAGGATTCACAAACTTGTCATGGGCCGACTGGCGGTGGTAACAACTGGAAAGCACCTCTTTGCTGATAGTTTAAATGAACCTTGTATTCTGGGGTAATCGAAAAGCAGACTGTCATCCCCCCTTTGCTGATGCTTTAAATGAACCTTCTGTTCTGGGGAAATCAGCAAAGTAGACTATATGGAAGTGACTCAGTTTCTCTCTCTAAAAGATCAAGTGCTGGGCTATTTGAGGTTCCCATATCTTTAAAGTTCTTTTCTCTTCCCTCTACTGCAAACCCGACTGGAATTCAAAGTACAGTTAGGTCCATGGCCACTTTTCACAGTTTCCTAGGTCAGCTACTGTTTCAGCATCATTCGTCCAAATATCAGGTGAAAGACAGGGAGTGACTGAGTTTCTGAAAACTGTATAATATGAAACTACTTCTTCAGTGATTTTAGTCCAGAGGAGAGAAACAATGAATTATGAGGATTTGAAAGACTACTGGACTTGGAATCAGAGGACCCAGGCTCAAATCTAAGTTCTGTTTTATCACTTCTGTGACTCTGAGTAAATCCCTTAATCTATCTGGGCCTTATTTTCCACCTTGGACAAAATGATCTCTATAAACTCTTCCAGATCAAATCTGCTCATCTGATTATTATGGAACATAAACTAAGGTGGGATAGATAGCTGTTTTTTTAAGCAAAGGCTTCCTCAAGAGTCTCAGTCCTTTAACACGTCAAGAATATGTGACTGCTTGACCCCTCTGCAATATATCTGACTGCTACCCATCTCTTCCTCCTGGCTGTGCTCTCCTTTCTGAATGCTTGGAACCCTGCTCTCCTCTATTCTTCCTCCCATCTATGTGACCACCCCCTCCTCAGTCTCCTCTGCTGGATACTCAACCTTTTCATCCCCACTAGCTGTGGGGCTCCCCCAGGGCCCTGCCATGGGCCCTCTTCTCTTTTCTCTGCACTATCTCATTAACTGCCATGAGTTCAGCTACAATCTCTGTGTGTGTCATTCCCAGATTCCTTTATCTAGCATTAGTCTTTCTCCTGACCTCCAGTCCTGTGTCACCAAGCTCCTGCTGGACATTTTGAACAGGATTACCTATGCGTATCTCAAAGTCAGCAGATCCAAAAGAGCCGTCATTATCTTTCCCCCAAACCCTAGACCAGGGCTGGGGAACCTGTAGCCTGGAGGCCGTGCGTGGTCCTCTAGGTCCTCAAGTGTGGCCCTTTGAGTTTGGACCCAGCTGAAGGGCCGTACTTGAGGACCACTCCCCGCCCCCACCCTGGCCTTTTCTGAGCTTCCCTCTGACTGTCAAAGGCACCATGACTCTCCCAGTGGCTCAGGTTCATAGCCTTGGTTGTCGTCCTTGATTCCTTTCTCTTGATCACTCTACAAATCCAATTAGTTGTTCAATCTTTTTTTTCTAATCATTTTTAATTTATGGAATACAATAAGCATTTCTATTACATAGTAATATAAAAAATGACTATACATAAAACTGCAAATCTATTTTGTCCAACTTGTTATCCCTTTTAAGTATATAGTCAAGTTATCATATACATTTCTTTTTTTCCTTTTTCCCCTTTCTCCCTCCCTTTAGCTGTTCAATATATATCTTTCTCTATAATATTTTTTGAATATGAATTCTTTCCCCAGCTGACGTAGTCTTGTCACCTCTCACCTGGACTGTTAGGATAACCTACTACTTGACCCCTGGCTCCGGTCTCACCGATCCATCCTTCACTCACTGCCCAAGTGACTTTCCAAAAGCACAGGTCTGACTGGGTCACTCACCCACTCAATAAATTCCTTCTTACCTCTAGAATCCAGTATAAACTCCACTGTTTGACATTTAAAGCTCTCTACAATCTGAGTCCTTCCTCTTTTCCACTCTTTAAATAACACATTGCCTTCCTTCACCGATTCTATGATCCAGGCACACCAGCTCTCTTGTTATTCACACATGACCCTCTATCTCTGTGTCTTTTTACTGTCTGCCACTCAGGTCTGGAGTGCCTTCCTTTCTTGTAGAACTCTTGGCTGCCTTTAAAACTATGCTTAAGGGTTTCCTCCTGTAGGAGGTCTTTCCCTTTCTTCCTACAGGCTACTGCCTTCCCCTCTAAGACTACTGGAACTGGCCAGTTGGGCAACATAGTTCCCTCCCTCCTTCCTTCCTTCCTTCCTTCCTTCCTTCCTTCCTTCCTTCCTTCCTTCCTTCCTTCCTTCCTTCCTTCCTTCCTTCCTTACTTCCTTCCTTCCTTCCCTTAAACCCAAATCACTCTTGCTGTCATTGATTGACCAACAAAAAGTCCCAGGCCAAGCCCCAGTTGATCTTTGTTTGGGCCCTGATTGGCTCACAGTGAACATAAATAGCAATTGTTTCTGTTTGGGCCAGAAACCTTGAGGGTCTTCCCCTTTCAGAGATATATATATATATATATATATTTTTTTTTTGACTACCTCATTTCTTTGAGAATGAAGGACAAACAACAAGTTTTCATCCACTTTGTATTTGCCTTGTATGTACCCATTTAAATATATGTCATCTTCCATTAGAATTCAGACTCCTTGAGGGCAGGGACTACTTTTGTATTTTCTTTGTATCCTTAGCACTTAGCACAGCTTCTTAACGTACTTTATAGCACTTTACATAAATGCTTGCAGATGGATTTCGCTGTGTGGGTGCTCCCTCTACTGAGTCCCTCTATAACCTGGTAGACAGTCTTGAGAGTTTCTGGGGTTAAAACCTTTATAATCCCCTGGCCAAGCCAGTGATAGAATCCTCAAAACTTGGACTAGTCCTTGAGCAGCAGACATACTGCTAGGTCTGAACCTAAAACTTTTTTAGCTTGTTAGGGCTAGCCAAAGCTTGTATTATGCTGGCATAGACTTTAAGAACTCACAGTAAGGCACTGGAGGCAGACTTCAATAGAGGAGTGAATGCATTAATTAGCAGATATGAATTAAACAGAGGACCAGTCTCAGGGTAGGAATAACTAGGTTAAGGTCCCAGCTTTGATGTATACTGTCTGTATGACCTTGGACAAGTCACTTAATTTCTCACTATACCAGGCAACCCCCTAAAGCTGTAAGTGATGGAATAGTTCTGGATCTGCACTGGTAGAAGGAATTTCCTGTTTGAGAACTGAATTCCCAAGTCTGGACCCCCAAAATGTCATTAAGCACATGATATATACAAAGCCCACAATGTACTGTGTATAGTAGTACACAAAAGAAGTATAGGATGAAATCCCTGCCCTCAGGAACCTTACAGTAGTTGCAGACAAGCAGATACTTTTAAGATGACAATCAGCAGCAAATGATAGATGAATAAGTGCTCAATTAATGGTATAGACAGAGGAGTGTTAGAACTGCCCAAAGAGAACTGATTGTTAAATTTTCAGTGTAAAGATTTATACCTCAGAAATTGGCAAACAAAAGCAGACTATAGTTGCTGACCCTAGTCTGGACTTCAGAAAGAATTAGAGAAAATATTATTAATGCAAATTAAATTTAAAAGAGTGTTGTTCATATTTTTTTCCCCAGAAAGCCAGTTGTTAAATATTTACCAGTAGGCTCCTGGGTATAGATCATAAATACCACAACAGTCCAGAAGCTAAAAATTTGTTATGGAATGACATCGCAGGCCACGGAAAACCTCATGAAGAGGTAGGACTTTAGCTGGGCCTTCAAGGAGGATAAGAAGTTAGATAATTATTATTAGTATTGTCATTTGCATTTACACACCACTTTAAGGTTTACAAAGTACTTTCCTCATAACAGAAAGTAACATTATACAGTAGAAAAGCCATAGTCTCTGAATTTAAAGGACCTGAATTTAAATCCTACCCCCAATCATTGCTGCCTAGCCAAAGTTCCTTTTGGAGAAAGTCTTTTCTCCATTTCACTCACATCCTATGTCCTTTCACAGTCCCAAACTGAATTCATTGTCTTTCTCCAAAAACTCTCCCTTCTTCCTAGCTTCCTTATTATTGTTGAAGGCATCACTATCCTCCCAGACACCCAGGCTTAAAACTTGGGCTGCGAGTCAAGTCCTTGACTCCTCACCTTCTCCCTTCTCTCACCTCAGTAGCCTGTCCATTGCCAAGTCGTCCTGGTTCTAGCTCTGCCACACCTCTTGGATGTACCCCTGTGCCTCCTCTTACACTGCCACTACTCTCGTGCAGGCCCTGATCACCACACACCTGGGCTGTTGCAGTGCTCTTCTAGTTCAGTGCTTCTTAAACTTTGTCCTCTTGAGACCCCTTTTCACGTTTCAGCAGCATTGGGTGGTGTTTCATGGCCTGAGAACGTGCACAGTGCAAAGTGTGCATTCCATGTGTTTATGACCAAGGCTGCAGTGAAGTTGTGTGATGCACCATGAGTAAGTGCTACCAGAAACACCTCAGATTCATTACGCCTTTGATTTTTAATTAATTTTTGGTTGTTGCATGTTCAGAAACCCTTTACTACTGCCAAATTGTGCATGAAGTCATGGCCCACAGTTTAAGAAATGCTATTCGACATGTCCTCCACTCAACTATCAGAGTGATCTTCCTGAAGCACAGGCCTGACCATGTAACCCTCCTGTTCAATAAGCTCCAGTGGCTCCCTATTACCTCCAGGATCAGACAGGGCTTTGAAAGCCCTCCATAACGTGGCCTCTGCTTACCTTTCCAGTCTTCTTACATCTTAGACCCTTCCTCCTACTCTCCAGTGACAGTGAACTCCTTGCTGTTCCTTGTGCAAGGCACTCCATCTCCTGACTCCAAATATTTTTGTTGGCCATCCTTCATGCCTGGAATTCTTCTCCTTTTCATCTGGATCTTCTGGCCTTCCTGGATTCCTTCAAATCTCAGCTAAAATTTCACCTTCTGCAAGAAGCCCTTTCTAGGCCCCTTAATGTTAGTGTCTTTCCTCTGAAATTAATCCCAATTTATCTTATATATATCTTTTTTGTGCACTGTTGTTTGCTTTTTGC